TCTCTCTCTCTCTCTCTCTCTCTCTACTCTTTCCAGTTTTTTTCTATTAAAAAAGGACATTTCAACACAACAGCAGCCTGAAATAACTGGCAATTGCCAAACATAGAGAAATAGTTGTCACTCCAAGAGAAAGCAAGGGAATAAGAGTGTTTTTCGTGTATTCCTCAATGACTGGTTTTCAGCTAATATCCTTGAATTAAAGGATAGTCTTTCTATCTCAAGATGAGTTTGGTCACTCTGTTAGGTCAACGAAACGATCATAATGTATCAATAAAAATGACATCATTAAAGTGCACCAAAGCACCGCAAAACAAGGAAATTAGGTCAAAATAAAAACAGCTTTGCCGGTCTGGGTGAGGATTTGAAGTGCTACATCTTCATCAGCTTTTTTTCGGTCTCCTCTTATCGATGATATTATACACTCTCCCAAACCACAATATGTAATGTAGAATATTATTATACGATTCTAATATTTGGAAGTCAGATCTTTTTCAGTGAAGATCGCACAAAAAAGATATCGAGCATTCCCTTAAAAAAATATGTTGACAATGACATTATCCAATGAAAAAAACTACAGAGAAAAATGTAGGCGATGTCACATTTGTTGGACCTAATCACATGTCATCATTTTGTTAAATGTTTCAATCGAAATGGTTCCAAAAGTTAGGTTAAATCGGATTATTTGGACTAAAAGTACCGTACCCGTTAGCAGGCCCACAGCACTATAATATGATGGGCAACAGTTCGGTGGGGTAAAAACACTTCTTTTATCGTGTCTTTTAAAAAAAAAATTTGCAGGGGGTTGGGTGGTTGTAAGTTTTTGTTTTTATTTTGTTTTGGGGTGGGTTTTTTGGGGAGGGGGGTGTATTTGTTTTTTGTTGTTTTTTTGTGGGGGTGCTTATATTATTTTGGTGTGGTTATATTTTGTATAGGTATCGTCGGTTAGCTGTTCAGTTGTACTAAGCCAAAAATTTAAATTGTTTAATATTTTTTGCAGTTCCTTAAAATGTGGTGTCGGCTGTAAATTCTCAAGAAAACTCTTGTCGAAATTCTGATCCTAAATTAATGTTAAAATAAGCAGGAAAAGGTGCATAATGTAGGTACAATAATTGTTTTTAAAAATGCAACACGTTTTCTTTTCTCTTGACAGAAATATGCTCTATGAACTTAGAATACTTTAACTGATTGAGGGTGATATGTGCATATCATATAGAGGTGAATTAGAAACTGTCGTGTTGTGGTCAGATTGACAACCAGAAACGAAAAAAAACGACTGACCTGTTCACTTTATTTCACAAAGACTCCTTTTTTATTCGAAGAAGAACTTAAAGGACTTAAAATAGTCTCCTGTTAGCCACCGCGCTAGTTCCTCTCAATAGTGCAAAACTTACTTAATGCTCAAGTACACAACCTGAAGAACTTCCCCTCTAAATAAATAAATAAATAAATAAATAAATAAATAAGTAAATAAATACATACATACATACATACATACATACATACATACATACATACATACATACATAAATAAATACAAACTTGTTGTCACACGATGTTGTTTGAATGTGTTTTGTGACGGGGCAACCCATAGGCAACGACCTGGAATCAAAGCTCAGAGTTTTAAAAGATAATTCTGAACAACATTTTAAATCTTCCATCAAAGAAAACCCTAAATCCCAGTATCATAAATGACCCTTCTAGTGTGTTTCCAGCGTCTCTCGTTTGTACTGCGTGACTAGTTTTGAGATCCATACAAAAGGTTCTACTGAAATCTAGAGATCTATCCTCCATGATGTTGCCTTTAACATACATAAAAATACAAAAGTGCACGTAAGGATATTTTAGAAAATAACATGAAATATAATAAAACTGAATCAAATAAAATAAAATAGTTAGAAAAAAATTGATATAAAACAAAGCAAAAACAGACACTCCTCAGCTCAACAACAACGTAAGAAAACAGAAGCGAAACAAAATGAAAATCGTTGAAACTCGAGACACTGTCTTCGATTTGGACAAGGGTTCCTTATTTTCCAGTCCCCTTCGAACACACTGCAGGGCGTGAACTCAGCAAACTTGGTGTACAGCTGACGGGTTTGTACAGCATAGATGTGCGTTTAAATTGATCAATCCCCGACACGCTTACGGCGTCACTTCAGGCCGCTTCGAGGTTTATCTAATTCTAGGGAAACGGAATTCTACCGAGATGAAGTCATTCTGAGACAGAATGTTTGCCCGTTGTCTGATTCGGAAGTTAGCAACTGAACTGCTGACAATTATGTCATCACTTTCAACCCCCCCCTCCCCCCGCTTTTCTTCTTTTGAATATCATCCTCTCTTCGCATTCACTACACTGGCACTGCTTCACCTCTGCCACCCCTCACTCTTTTCTCTCTAGCCAACTCTGGACTCGCTAGACACAACAGAAATTCTCCACTTCTCTAAATGACAGTTGCCCATCAACACTCCAATATCATGTTGTAGTCGTAGTAGTAGTAGTAGTAGTAGTAGTAGTAGTAGTAGTAGTAGTAGTAGTAGTAGTAGTAGTAGTAGTAGTAGTAGTATTGTAGTAGTAGTGTAGCAGTAGTGTTGTTGTAGTAGTAGTAGTAGTAGTAGTAGTAGTAGTAGTAGTAGTAGTAGTAGTAGTAGTAGCAGTAGTAGTAGTGTAGTAGTAGTGCAGTAGTAATAATAGTAGTAGTAGTAGTAGTAGTAGTAGTAGTAGTAGTAGTAGTAGTAGTAGTAGTAGTAGTAGTAGTAGTAGTAGTAGTAGTAGT